GGCTATCGTTTGAACTATGTATATACTGGACAGGTAGATCTGAGCATGAGAGTGAGGAGTTCTTTTTTAGTTATACTGAGTTTGAGATACTGGGAGGGTGCGGGGGCAGGGGGAGGTTCAGACTATAGAGAAAAAAATGGGCAAGGAGATCATAAGTCTAAGCTTGTCATATCTATGTCTTTGTGTAGCTTCATAAGCAAATGCTTATGGCAAAAATGATCAAAGTCAAGGGCATAACAACTAACCATGGTTTGAAGCACAACTTCAGCAAATACAGAAGGTGTTCCTCAGTGTACCAGAAAATATGCTGACATTTGAGCCAAGTGCCCAAAGGCCAGTGATGAGGTGTGTGATGGCTCTAAGATGCTGTTGGGAGCATAAGGGCTATTCAGAAACTTTTTGGAAAATGGCCCTCAAAATGATGATTTCTGTTTGTGTATTACTAACCTTTTTATGTTATCTATAGCAGTGGTCGAGTATAAGCACAACAGCTTTACATTTATTCTCTGAAAGGATAGAGGAGTGCTAACAGCCTGTTCTTCATTTTTTTTCTCCCCTTTGCCAATTCAGAATGCCACTCTGACCATTTGTGTGCCTCGTGTAGGGATCTTCTCCATTTTTCAAGTGTAACAGTGCAGGCTGAGGAGAGTGGATAAGCTGTAAATACAGCCTTGAACGCAGTTAACTATGGAGAATGAACCGTTAATATCCCAGTATACTTGGAGCAAAAACCAATACCATCTGGGCATCAGTGTTTTTCCTTCCTTTGAATTATCCCAGAACTATTTCTGCAAACAGCTGTTTCCTCAGCCAACTTAATATTGAGCCACAAGAATGGAAGTTAGCCACATTACTTCCTTATTTACTTCTGTTGAAAATTGGAAGAGAATGGAAATATTTCTTCTCTCAGAATTTGGCAGGAACAGCAACAAGGCAATCTGTTAGGGATGATAGCTTAGGCGCTTTTCTTTCTTTTTCTTTTTTAATGATATAGCCAATATCCAGAATGATTCTGGAGGGTAAAATCATCTACATTTCTGATTATTCATGATCCTAGAAAAGCTAACATTTTAGTGTACCTGAAAGATGAAAAAGGAGTTAGATTAAACTTAAATATCACACTTTTCAGTTATCCTATTCATGCTGAAGAAAGGTAATAAAACATTCTACCAAGTAACTTCAATCACAAGCATAGCATAGCCCTTTTTAACTGTTTACAGGAAGGTGGCACTTTGATTTTCCTTTTTGAACTCTTTCTTCTTAGCCTCCAAATGTCAGCTGCTCCATTGAGAATAGCAGGCATGATATTATGCAAAGTCCCAAACTTTTAAGTGAGTTGCATTTCTAAAATTCATGAAGTCCTCCTTTCTCTTTTGTTTTCACAGCACAATTACACTTCTCTTCAGTACTTCTCTTGTATATAGTTAGCTGTCTCTGCCTCTGCCTTCCAGGTTTTGCTGAACTCAGTCTTTTTTCTCCCACCTGACCGTTTCTCCATTTCCTTCATTGTTTGCACAGTCAGCCTTCATTTTTGTGGTTTTAATTTTGAATAAAATTAGATAAAGATGTTTATTTCTTTTTTTAACATCTTTATTGGAGTATAATTGCTTTACAATAGTGTGTTAGTCTCTGCTGTATAACAAAGTGAATCAACTATACATATATCCCCATATCTCCAAGATGTTTATTTCTCAAAAAAAAAATAAGGGCTTCCCTGGTGGCGCAGTGGTTGAGAGTCTGCCTGCTGATGCAGGGGACACGGGTTCGTGTCCGGGTCCGGGAGGATCCCACATGCCGCGGAGCGACTGGGCCCATGAGCCATGGCTGCTGGGCCTGCGCGTCCGGAGCCTGTGCTCCGCAATGGGAGAGGCCACAGCAGTGAGAGGCCCGCGTACTGCCAAAAAAAAAAAAAAGTCATATTGAAGCCAGGAAGTAGAATTCTATCAGGAGCCGGAGCAGCATGTGTGAGTCCCTCTTTCTCTTCCCCTCTGCAGCTCTTTCCACCACCAGCAGCCCCTATCTCCTGTCTCCTCTCTCTTTCCCTTCTCCACCCCTGTTGTCCTTTCTCTAACCTGACTACCTCAGCTCCCTATAAGGCTTCTCTTCCTCAGATGGCCCTAACCCACAGTGTCTCAATCCAAATTCCAAGAACAAGATTCTTCTTAGCCAGTGGGTTGACTTCCTCCTGGGCCTAAGAAGGCAGGGCTCCAAAAAGGGAAACACGGGCTAGGTAGATCACAACAAAAGCTCTCTACCACAAGCTCAGGACACATTAAAAACAATGTAATATAATGGTTGGGCTCCAAGGTCAGTTTACAGTTCCTGTTTGATCCATTATCATTGTAAAATATTTATTTGCAATGAGAAAAAGAGTGTGAAATTTAAAGACTGAAATTACCTAGTGGTGTTTCCCCTCCCTCCTCCATGATTTTTAAATGGTTGCATGGTATTCCAAGTAAAAGTGTTTTATTTATCTTAAATAATGGCTTTGCTATAAGGTGTAGATTTTAGCACCTGAAAGGACCATCAACAATAATAATATCTAGAGCTTATTCAGTGATTACTATTACCAGACTCTGTGTTTTTTATATACTGTCTCATTCAGACCTTGCAATAGTCCTGTGAAAATAGATGCTATTATTTCCCCTGTTTTAAAGATGGGGGGACTGAGGCACAGAGAGATTAAATCATTAACAAAAGTCGTAAGGCTGGTTAGAGTCAGAGCCAGGATTCGAGCCCAGGAAACCTGGTTCCAGAGTCTGTACTCTGAACTTCTCTACTACGCTGGCTTTATCAGAGGCCAGCAAGTATGATGTTCCAGGGTAAACAATCCAGAATGTAATCTGAGTAATAGTTCTCTCGTATTGGAAGTGTTCAGACAGTCTGGAGCAGGGCTGTTGTAGAGGAAATGAGGAAGTATATTAGTGGTTGCTAGTCCATGGACCCTCTGCCTCAGAATCACCCAGGGAGCTAATTAAAAACCATGAATTCCAAGGTCCAAATGCAGAGGTTCTTATTCACCAGGTCAGTAGGTCTGGGGTGGAACCCAGTAATCTATATTTTTAACAAGTTCTCTAGGTGATTGTGATATTCAGCCTGGCTTGGAAACTCTGGACTTGGTAATCTTTTATTGCCACCATTATCTCCTAGGACTAGATGGTAAATGAAGACTTTGAGGGTTAGTGGTTGGTTCAAGGAATGCATTTAGGCATTATGCCTTTAGGATCTTTCGAGATTACAACATTGGTTCTTTTTGTCTCAGAGAATATAACAAGTGCTAGTAAATGCATGTGGGCCTGAATAATTATGATCCCTGTTGTATACCATTCTTCAGTTTACAAAGATCCATAACATACTTGATTATATTCAAACTATTCTCTATCAGTAAGTATTTATTGAACATGTGCGAGTTACGAAACATAGCATCAAAAAAATACAGTCCCTGTGCTTAAAGGGCTCATAGGTGAGATGGTGTAGACTGCCTGGTAGTACAGAGCAGCATATACTAGAGCCAGGTGAATAGTGTAATGGGGAGGGCTGCAGGGGTCAGGGAATAGCCATCCTGCATCCAGGTATACTCTGGATCCATATGGGAGGAAGAGCCAGGCCTTGAGAGGAGGCTCAGGGAAGCTGCATGAAGAAGGGATTCCATACAGCAGTAACACTGCCAGGACACTATTGCCCTACAGCCCTGTCACGTGGAGGCTGTCACATGGAAGCTGTTCATTCCCCTGAAGCTCCTGATCTCAGAGCAGGGAGAGTGAGTCCATTTCTTCTATTTCCAGTGTCTTCTACCTTAGCTGCCTTGATCCTGGGGGGACATTAACACCCCCTTACATGAGGTACCCCACTTTTGAGCCTCTCGGTTCTTTGACTGCTTCACCTTGGACAATTATCTCTTTCACTCACTTCAACCTGCCACTCCAGTTCCCAAAGTCTACCTCCAGTTTTGCTGTTGGTCGAAACTGCTCCCCTCCAGAATCAGGAATCAGACCCATTACTCTCTGGCCACAACTTGTAGCTCTTTTTCCTGAACACCTTCTAACCAGTGACCCCTCTGCTTTTTCCCTGCCCCCATCCCTTTACCTAGATGGCCCTCTTGCATTCTTGATTCCCATTTATCCTCAGGTCCTATTGCACACCTTACTTTCTCAGGGAGGCTTTCTGCGACATGGTTAGCTCTCCATGTTGGGTGCTCCTGTAGTATCCTGTACTTTCCCTTGGGTAGCATTTAGTGTATTTTGTATGTACTTAGTGTCTATGTCCTCTACCTGACTGAGCTCCGTGAAGGCAGAGGTGGTGTCTGTGGTAGAGTAGGTTGGCACAAAGCAGGTGCTCAGTAGACACAGTTGAATAGATTAAAATGTATACCTCTGGTCTAAAATAGTAGGTTCTAAACTCTGTAGTAAGAAGCGGTGGGGAGCAAAGGAGTGGCAGAATAAGAAATGAGGTGGTATTCGAATAAAGTGGAGTTCTGGGAGGTTTGTTTTGTTTTTTTTCAGTTTGAAAGCAGTCACTGTTTATTAACTGACCAGATTACAAAAATAATCGTGGTAGATACCTTAGTTCATCCTTCTAATAAGCCTGTCGATCTGGTCTTCCCTGTTGCCAGCATCTCCACCTTCTACAAAATGGGTGGTCTTTTTCTTCATTCCACCTCGTGGAGAAGACAATTTGAAGGGCCACAGGAAGTTGTTCGCTTCTTTGAAACGTTTTCCAACAGTATAGATCTCATGAATCAGATCCTCCATGCAGATAATACCGTATTTGCCAAGAGATCGAGCAATCAACACGTTATCCGTCAGGGCAATTCGCTTCTTGTTGCTTTTGCCATAACCACGCTTGTAGATCAGTTCATTTACTGACTTCAGGTTTGGGTACCCCCATGCGATCAATGTATGGTTCCACGATTCTCAGCATGTTAATTGAAGCCTCCTCGTGCTTCACAAAGGTGCCATTGAAAATCTGACGGAGGCGAAGAAGCTGCAACACCTTTCGAACCTTTGGGCTCACACCATTGATACCTCTGATCCTGATGACAAATGCCAATTTGGGTTCCGCGGGTACGTGGAAGTTGCCAGCTTTTCTTGCCATCCCAGCCGTTCGAATTTCAGTTCTGTATATCTGCCGGTATTCCCTGTGATAGTGCTTAGCTTTTTCATAGATCAACTTCCTCCGTGCCTTTCGAAGCATCTTTTGGGCAAATTTCTTCCTCAGGCACTTGATCTTAAGCTCTGTGAAATTCACTTTTTCTTAAGGGTTTCTGGCACAGCAGGAACCTTCTTTTTCTTCTCTTCTGCACTCTCCATGGTTCCAGCCAGGAAAGAGCTGTTTTGTTTTGTTTTTGTTTTCTCCACAAAGAGAGCAGGCCTCTAGCTCAGAGCCTTCAACAGATGGCAGTATCTCTAGAAGTTAATAACATGACTGTTTGCATTGTGCTTATGTGTACAGTTACTTTTATCTACAGATGTGATACAGACTTTCCTTTTAACATAAATATATGAAAGAAAAATGAGTTTTTTAAAGAAAAGCATAACTAATAATAATATGGTTCATGGATATAGCAAAAAAAAATCATAACGGTAGAAGAAATGAATGAAATTTGGGAAATGCCACCTTGGATGAAGCCACAGGTACTTGTTATGGAAGTCCTGGGGAAAACTTGGAGCGCTTTTTCAGCATACTCATTTCCTGTCACTGTTGAGAACCACGAGTCTAGAATAAAGGACAAAAATCACATCTGCCAATTGTAGTGAAAAAGTTGGGAGCTTACATATATCAAGCCCTAGCACAGTGCCTGGCTTACTTCAGTCATTTAATAAATGTTATTTCTATTGTTTCCACCCTCCACTCCTTCCTAATAGAGACCAGGATTCTCCTGCTAACTTATAGTATGCTCTTAAAGAGCAAGTCACAGTGAAGAGGTTAGACCAGATCACTTCTATAATCCCCTGCAGTGCCTAAGTGCTTTCTTTCCTTTAGTGTCATTTTAGTGGGGTTTTGGAAAGAAATGGAAACAAGCGCATGTGTTTACTATTTATGTATAGCAAACTCTGAAGTTCTTTGTTTTACTCTAAATAGTCCATACTTAAATTTGAAAGAGAAAATTATTGTCATCATCCAACCATCCTTTCAAGGTCTAATGAAGATTAAATGATATTTACAACTTAATGTAATTTAGACTTTGAGTAGTTTAATGGCAAAATACAATGATCAATTGATTTTTATGTTGTATGATCAAGCAGCTTTCACGTGAGTATACAGGGGAGTAAATGTCATTTCCAAAACTAATTATTTTGGGCCCTCATAAGAAATAAAGCTAGGTGTTTCATCCCATATTTTATAGAAATAGAATTTGAAATATTTCTTTAAGAGTCAGTGATTTTAGGGGCTTCCCTGGTGGCACAGTGGTTAAGAATCCTCCTGCCAACGCAGGGGACACAGGTTCGAGCCCTGGTCTGGGAAGATCCCACATGCCGCAGAGCAACTAAGCCCGTGGGCCACAACTACTGAGCCTGCGCTCTGGAGCCCATGAGACACAACTACTGAGCCCACGTGCCACAACTACTGAAGCCCGCGCACCGCAACGAAGAGTAGCCCCCACTCACCGCAACTAGAGAAAGCCCGCGTGCAGCAACGAAGACCCAACGCAGCCAAAAATAAATAAATTAAATAACTAAATTTTTTTTAAAAGAGGAATCAAATTACCAGGAAGTTCATCATAATCACATAGATTCTTAGACTGGGATGTCATTTTGCTTTTATTTATGATATTTTACTCTTCTTTTAAATGTGTCTGACAATCTTTCCCTGTAGTTTACATCTGTATTTCTACCATCTAGACATTTAAGGTGTCAGTTCCTCCCTTAGCTAATTTTATAGACTTTGAGCTAGAAATCTGGTATTCTTACAAACTTAAATATACTGAATTTTGTTTCTTGATATTGAAGAAATTATTAAAGGAAAATTCTTTTGTCTAACATTCTTGCCCAAGAGGGAGGTTCTATAGCCTCAGAAGTCAGTAACTATTTATGTACATGTAGTAGTGCAGTTTTCTTTCTAATGTTAAAACAAAAACACTACTTCAGGTAGCCCTGTATTATTTATATCTTATATGTCTGTGTACTTGAATTACTCAAATTTTGAGCTCCATGGTTATGATTATAATGTACCAGTTGATTTAAATTATTGATATAACAGCATTTGGTAATGGTGCAGGTTGGAATAAAAGATCATTAAGCTAAATATTTTAACCTTCATTGGCTCCCTGTTGCTTGGAGTTTGTCAGAGTGAAATAGAATCACAGCATTTCAGAACTAGAAGGGCCCTTAGAGATTGTCTCATCCAGTCTCTCATTTGACACATGAGAGAACAAGCCCAGCTACTTGCCAAGGACCTACAGCTAGTTAGTAGCAAAGCTAATACCAGAATCTAGGTCTGCCGTTTCCCAATTCAGTGCTCTTTCAACCGATTCCGTTGGGATTTTTAGGTGGTGTTCTCTCTGTTTCACTCCCTAATGTTGATGCCAATTATTCTAATCAGTTTCACATCTGTTTATTTTTAGTACATAGAGTTTCACCCTACTCTGAGTCTTTCCTGGTTAAACTTTATATCTGGCTTTCTTTTAGGTTGGTCTCCACTCATCTCTTTTAATCTTGAAGACTTCAAAATATACCTGGATCTACCATTTTTTTTGAAAACTCCAATACCAAGCAATCAGTGACCCACCGTGCTCTTGTTATAATATAGAAGCTTTTCAGTTCTCCAACTCTAAACAAGATTTTCTCCCATTTTCCCATGAAGCCACATTGTTGTTTATTCACTTTAGTGGTGAGTGTTACTGTGCCAGCTGCTTTTGCTTTGGAAGATGTAGGCTTCAACCAAATGACCCCGCTGGGAGCAAATCATAGTTCTTCCAATGCATCATTTCTCCCAAGTTTTGAACTCTCAGCAGATTCCCACTCAGGTGATGATGTCATCATAGCCAGAGAGGGAACTAGTGTTTCAATTGAGTGTCTTCTCACAGTCGACCACTATGAAGGTGTCTATTGGTGCAACTCAAAAGGACAGCAGCTGGATAACAGAGGCAGAGGTAACTATGCCAGAGTATAATTAATCAAGGTTACTCATTTCCTATTACTTCTTTCTTCTTCGTTTTAAGGCATATTCAACAAGAAATCTCTAAGATGAGGTACTACAGTAAATAGTTAAAACTTTGGAAGGCCTGGAGTATTATACCTATCAGAAAAAGCAAAATAATGGTAATTACTTAACCAGAAGAAAATAAATAGAGAATAGTTATAAATTTAAAAGGTGTTCACATAATGATGGTGAGCTATTTTCTCTCCTCTTAGTGAGCTGGTTTCCTTCTTCATTCAAGGTAGACTCCATCAGGGTTGCTGCATACAGCTGTGCGGGCTACGCACTGCCCAACTCCAGGGGCACCATTCACCTAGACTGTAATGTGAGTAGTACAGAGTGCTGGCCCTGTGTGAATACAGCAAGAAGGATTTGGGTTAGACTTAGAGTCATAAATAAAAGTGTTTTGTCCAGAAATGAGTTACTAAAAATGTTGGAGGAAATCCAGGATGTTTTTAAAAATAGTTATAAAGATCTGTGCATAAAACTTTAAGTCCCTCAGAATCAGAAGGGCACTGAGGAGGAACTCTATAAGCCCTTTCTATTCTATACCTTAATTTACTTGAAAACAGGAGAGTTTCCCTTGTATTTTTTTTTTTGTCAGTCTTAAAAAATCACACAAACATCATAATAATGTGACCAAGGTCTACTTTTTGACAGGTTTTTATTTGATTATGCTGTTTATGAACCCGTAAACACATCTTAATCAGAATACTATTTCCTTTAATTAGTGTTCTGTTAGAAAGATTTTTTTTTTGAAGACTACTTGTGTTAAAACACCTTAGGAAGAAATCTCCATGAAATATCAATGGGATAAAGATTAAATTCTGGGATCCTCACAAGCTACACTTTTCGGAAAAGGCCGCTTTATATTTTTTGCTAGAAAGATAGTCTAATCTCTTGGAATATAAGGATATTTGGCTATTCATATTAGAGTGGAAAACAGAAAAGGAGACAGATGGTGCTTCCTTCTAAAGTATACGCTAAACATTTTAACCTTATGCAAACTGAGTAACTGGCCACCAAGGGATTGAAGAGTTTGAATGTTAGAAAGAACAGAGCTTCTTAAGAATATAGACCTATTAAATCAGAATCTCTACAGTGGTACCCAGAAAGCAGAATCTCTAGAGTGGTATTTTGAACATGATTTGGGGTTCCCTGTTTGGATCCACTGAACTAGACTCTTATCTCGTTTGGCTCTAGGGTCCTAACAAACCCATTTAAGATGTGAGTTAATCAATGTGATTATTACGGACCGACTGTATAGACAAAGCTTAGGTCAGGATGAGACCAGCCAAGTGGAATGACAGTTTTATTTTCCTATTTTGCCCTTACTTTGAAAACCACTAACGTCTGTCATTGATGCTTTCAGCAGCAGCTCTGGACAATTATATTAAATTTTATGAATCTCAAGTGAGGAGAGTTTAAAGAGCATATTAGTCTAGTCTAAGGTTCATAAATCTTGAGCTATTATCAGCAAGTAAGCTAGAGAGTTTAGATTGTGGTTATAGTGGTTGATGAATGGAGTCTATGTAGTTCATCATACCGTGGATTCACAGGGTATCCTTTTCATAGCTCCAAGTTTACAGAACAGAAGTTTATAAAATAATGACTATATTCATAACTACATGTTTTCCTCTTTTTACTTTAGTAAAAATATAACTAGAATTTAGATAAATTTTGATGATGATAAGAATGGGCACAATCCACAGTACTTACTAATTGATGTGCCACCCAAATAATCCTGAACCATAGAATCTCAGGGATGAAAGAGATCTGGAAGATTAGACATTGAAATGGTGCTTAACAAGCAGTCACCCATCCTCCTCTGGGACACCACCTCTAGGCATTGGAACTCATACCTACACCGCACATCTATCCCATCTTTGAATGGCTTTCATAGTTAAAGCACAGAGTACACTGAGAACTTACCACAACGGTGAGAATTGTGCAGGCAGAGCCAAGTTGTTTTTTTTTTTTCCAAGTTATTAAAGGATGTCGAATCACGGTGGGTGGTCAGTATGCTTTGTTTTTCATACTCATGTGCATTCCCTGAATGAAGATACCTTCATGTATGGAAGAGAGGCAGCATGTTTTAGGTTTAAAACAAGCGTAGGCATCTTAAGGGCAACTTTTTTCTCTCTCCCAAGCTGGTCATTTAGCCTTGCTTGTGAAACATATCTTTTGGCTTGTGCTTCATTTACTCCTGCCAGAAAAACAAGATACTATCATCAACCAACCTTTTCTAACAAGACAAATTAACATGTGCAAGGCATGCCAGATTAGCCACTTAGTAATTGAAGAAATTCATTAAATTGGTAGGGTTTTTTAAAAATAGTTTTTATCTTAAATAAGTTCATTATTGAAAGTAAACAGTTTAAAAGGAAGTAAAAATTACTCATAACCCATTATAAATAACCATTGTTTTATATTTCTGAGGCACATCTTTCTATTTATGAGAAAGTCTAGGTAGAGACTGTGATATAGACACACACACACACGTAAATATTTCTTTTTAAGTTTAGTCATTTAGCATTATGTCGACACACCTGTCTCCCTGAAAGGCTTCTTACATCTAGCAGTGAAAAGGTAGTTATTATAATCATTAGTGTCAGGAAGATCTTGATTCCCTTTATTAAGTTCCAGGCTGTTTAAATTCTGACTCTGAACATAAAAAGTCTGGCCTTTCTTACATCTTTTAAGGAAATAGCAGAGCCTAATAGAAGAGTTGATTTAAAGTACTCATGAAGAGGTGGAATATTGATAAGGCAGTTGGTATATTTAGTAATAGTATTCTTTATGCTGTAATTTTTTATTTCTGTTGGGTTATCAGGTGGAAAATGGTTGGTTTCTGATAACTTCCTGAATATCACCAACATAGCCTTTGCTGACCGTGGGCTCTATACATGTTTTATCACCTCTCCGATCCGTGCCTCCTACTCGGTCACCCTGCGTGTTATCTTCACCTCGGGAGACATGAGTGTCTACTACATGGTTGTTTGCTTGATTGCCTTTACAATCACTCTCATCTTGAATGTCACACGGCTGTGCATGATGAGCAGCCATCTTCGTAAAACTGAGAAAGCCATCAATGAATTCTTCCGAACTGAAGGGGCAGAGAAACTTCAGAAGGCCTTTGAGATCGCAAAACGCATCCCCATCATCACCTCAGCCAAGACTCTGGAGCTCGCCAAAGTCACACAGTTTAAAACCATGGAGTTTGCTCGTTATATTGAAGAACTGGCAAGAAGCGTCCCTCTGCCACCTCTTATTCTAAACTGTCGGGCCTTTGTAGAGGAGATGTTTGAGGCTGTGCGAGTGGATGACCCTGATGACATGGGAGAAAGAATTAAAGAGAGACCTGCCTTGAATGCTCAGGATGGCATCTTTGTCATTAACCCAGAGATGGGCCGGAGTATTTCACCAGGAGGAGATTCGGATGATGGTTCCCTGAGTGAACAAGGCCAGGAGATAGCAGTTCAGGTTTCTGTCCACCTTCAGTCAGAGACCAAAAGTATTGATACAGATTCTCAAGACAGCAATCATTTCAGCCCGCCTGATGATACAGGATCTGCTGAATTGAACTCTAACTACAAAGATGGGGCATTTGAAAGCTGCCAGCTGTGAGCTACCCCAGTACCTACAAAAATGGCTCTCAGAAAAGGAACCTGTTTCATGCAGGAAATAACATTTTTACCAAAAGATAAGTAGGACTTAACCCCTTGCTCATATTAAGCACATCAGGACATGAATTGTTACCAAAATCTTTCTAAAAATTCAGTGTTTTCCCTATCTGATTTTTCTCAGTCATTTACCGTGAGCTTGATTAAATGACACATGTTGAGATTTAAAGGGACCTGAGACATCAGCCTAATGGGGAAAGTACCACACGCAGAATTACATGGCTTCTCTTCTGGTCATGGTTCTTCCATTGTTAGGGCTGACACTTTAGGCCTCAGTTTTCCCACTAACAAGATGAGGGATTTGCACTGGATGATATCTAAAGACATTTCTGGCCTTCTAACTTCTTACCTGCCACCTTTAAACCAAAAGAATCTTCAGCCCATTTCTGAATAAATGCTTCCCTAGACTTTGAGTCCCTTTTTATGGAAAGGACCAAGCTGAAACTTTGTGATTTGGATTCCCACACCAATGCTATGCATAGAGGTGTGGGTGTTTTTCAGATGTCTTGCTGGTGGAGCATACAGTTGTATATGCTAGGTTGAATGTCTCCAGTGTAGCCCATGTGTGTATCGTTATACAGATACCGGGGAGCTAACTGCTCATTAGTAAGCTACTTTCCATGAGTAAATTGGAACTTGTGGGGGTGTATCATGTCTTTTTAACTTACTGAGGCATCATTTAGCTCATTGAGCCGGCAGTGATTTCCCAACTGTTCTCCAAAAGTGAACAGTTCGTTCCTAAAGAATAATGTCTTCATTGTTTTTAGAATAAGAAACAATGTCAAATCATCTGTGTCTGGTAAATTAATGGATTTTGGCATTTCTGTTCATAGAATTTCTCAGGCTTTCCCTGTTTAAAAGTACTGGACTCTATGAGATAGTTCTGTGTTTGGGATCCCATTCCAGGAGAAAACCCACAGCTGAATTCCTCTTTAGACCTCTGTCAACACTCTTGCCCTCCGTGGTCTTTAATATGGTGCTAAAGGTTGCATGCCTCCTTATCTTGTTTGTCTTGTTTATATTTTATTGTTGAGGTTTTTATTTTTGTGTACTTCAGGTGTAGAATTTTGAGCTAGGGCTGCTTTTGTGGCCTTTCTGAGAAGCACTAACCTGAAATAAGATTAGATAATGGTGTGTGGTGTATGTTACTATACTAAATATATAGATACTAATACAGATGGATATATATATACACACATACAGATGATCTAGATATAAAGAGGGAGAAAAATTATGAGGGATGCCACCTGATTCAACTGTGTATAATAAACACTTAGGACAGTATTTCTTGCCTGGCTGAGATCTGATATAATGGAATTGTACATACTCTTCAAAATAATTTCTTCAGCTACAGTAAGCTTGGCGTCATATAATTTTAAGAACTTGGCAGTGGAGCTCCATGTGCTTCATGTTTCTTCATTTGGCTTCTGATTACTGAAGCATTACTTGAACAGAGGTTCCTGAGAGAAATGTTTGGGGGAGGTTTTTATCAGGATTTTAATTTCAAATGGAGGAAGGCAGGAAATTCGAAGTGTGACCAGATAGAACTCCTTTCTCCTTTGTGAAGGCTTATCAGAAGTAATATATCTGCTCTGGATAGCATGAATGAATCGATGTGCAGTTTTATCAGATGGCATTACAGATAATGATAATGCTGCCTTTTCTGTCTCTCAGGCTGTTTCCATGGAAACCTCCAGAGCCAAACAAAAGCTACCCGTCATTTAGCCAAAGCTTGTCTTGGCTCATAGACCTGTATTTCTTTAAAGAACACTGTTTTCATACATTTGGCTATGAGAGCAAGGGCTCTTGAACATGCCCTAGATTATAGAACACTTTTTCCCTTCCCAGAATGTTTCTCTTGAAAATGTAAAAAATTTTTAAATCCCTTGTCTGAGGTCTGTCCCCTGAATGTCCCTCAGATCTTTAGATAGCACCTTGCAACCTGTCCCAATATAGCAGGTTTGGGGTCATTTTTAGAATATAGCTTGTCACATTAAAGAGAATGGATTTACCCCACATGTTCTCATAACAGACATGGGCATTTGGGACCTTAATGTAGACATATTTAATGATCAAAGTCTTGAGAAACAGGGCTTTGGAAAAATACAAGAAATATTGGGAAAAAAATAAGTTTGCACAATACTATATAACAAGTATAGGCTACTCCAGTGTATCCTAGATAAATCACTTTAGAAATGTAACGGTGACTTAATTTGGTGGTCAAAGTAACTGGATTACTTTGAGTATTCCAGGTTAAGGTGCCACTGATAAGGAATTAAAGTAGGTCAAAATTTAAGTGGAGCTGGTATTACTTTCTAAATCTAGTTGTTCAGAGGAAGAAAACCACACTCACTAACATTTTCTGTAGCTAATCAAATACTCTTCATATATTATTAATACCCATGCTGTCTTTTTGTAAAATCCTTAACCTTTTGAACTTAAACTCCAGTAACAGTCTTTTGACAATAGTGGTAGTGTAATTATCCTTCTGTCTTGCTAGATTTTATGGTTAGTGAAAATGCCTTTACTCAACAAACTGTGTTTGAAATAGTTATGTCATCTCATTTACAAATTCTGTCTTGTAGTGTGATTTAATGAACCTTACTGTCCTTATGAAATGAAATGGTGGCTTTGTGAAATAAATTTACCAAAAATAGACATGTGAACATTTTTAGAGATTCCTTACCAGTTGAAATCAGACAGACAGGCACCTTTTGAGCTGATACCGCGATTAGTTTATAGGCAGTTTGATAAGCCTGTCCTCAAAGTCGCATCTGTTCTGATAGTTTAGTTCTTGAGTCTGGCCCAGTGAGTGTTTATATTTCCTACCAACTACCTTGATATAAATATCTTGGGAGTCGCTGACCTGGAATGGTTGTGAGGAGGCTCCCGGCTTCTTCACCTCGCTTACCACGTATTTTAAAGTCGAAATACCCAGCTTCCCTTTTGTCCTCCAGCCACAGTGAACCCCTTGGCACAGTCCTCTCCACGCCCTGCATGTAGTTTCAACCTAAATCAGAGTTTGTATTCTGTGTCACAGAGCAGCATGGGAGCGTGAATGCTTGTTTTCCAGGGCCCGGCCAGTCATGGGTGCTAGCCTTGCCTCCTCACATCAGCTACGGTAACACAAGTATACCAGATTTCCTGAATCACTATTAAGAGAACACAGTCTTTTGTCCCCTACGCCAGCAATGTTAAAAGTGCTAAGCCTTGGGCTTCCCTGGTGCGCAGCGGTTGAGAGTCCGCCTGCCAATGCAGGGGACACGGGTTCGTGCCCCGGTCCGGGAAGATCCCACATGCCGCGGAGCGGCTGGACCCGTGAGCCCTGGCTGCTGAGCCTGTGCGTCCGGAGCCTGTGCTCCGCAACGGGAGAGGCCACAACAGTGAGAGGCCCGCGTACCACACACACACACACAAAAAAGTGCTAAGCCTTATGCATAAACTCCTAGATTCTCAACACATTTCATAAGAGTAAATGAGTTGTTTAATATGGTTTAGATGATGTTTAAATGGTTACCATGTTAATGAATACTTACATTAAAATTTTGTCCTTTTTTTAAAAAAAGTTGTACTTGAATGTAATGTATTAAATGTTCAATGGAGTGTATTTCATTTGTCTGAAGTCTTCTATAGAGATACATTCTTTTTTTTTTTTTTTTTTTTGCAGTAGACAAAGTCTGTACCTTTTTATCAGGAAGGCGATAGTTTTCCAGAAGCCTCACCTGACTTCCACTATACAGCTTCCAGAACTAGGTTACATGACTACCTGCAGTAACTGTAAGAAAGCTTGGGAAGATGAAATTGTATATTTTTTCACTGGACATATTGTAGCAAAGTGTTTTATTATTAAGAAAGTGAAGAATGGAAGTTGTAGGCAACTGGTAATGTGCAACAAGGTCAACTTCACTTGAATTACAGGAGCAAAATGTGGTTGTGTGGTGGATATAGTTGCAAACCATGTTCCTTGAAGATACTCACATGTATGGATGAAGAATGTTGTGTACCATATCAGTAAACAAAGGATGTTGCAGCCATCAAGCCATCAGCCACTACAGCCACCCTGACTGTGCACCCTGAGGGGATTCAGGATGGAGAAAAACAGGATACCGGCCTAGATAGTTAAGGTGTACATCAAAGGAATGGTTTCGATGAGCCCAGGCTCTTACATCTTCCCATACATAGAGAAGTATTAAGTTCATTAACTTGAGATGTCTGGTTTTTCTTTAATTAACTAATCTTTTGTTGTTCTGACTACCTGTTTTTTGTTGCAAAAATTCATGTATATCCTGGCTACTCCCTTACCTCTTCAGAACAGTCCCTCAGAACTATCTGAAAGGCCGCTTCCCAGGCTTAAGTCCTCAGTATGTCTGCCGAATAAAACATAATTCTCAGCTTTTAGGTTGTGCATTTTTTTCAGTCCACACATGCATGAACAAAGCAAGAATCAGAAGCATTAAATCTTAGGTTAAATCTTCAAGCCATCACTTATGTAGTCTCCAATACACGTGGCTCAAACAGCAGACAGACAAGTTATGGGATTCTGCTGGGGCATAATTGGCTTATCTTAACCTATTTATTCATTATCAGATACGTACTGGCCACCTGCTGTGAGCAAGCAATAACAAAGCTCCTAGGGGACAACAAGGTTGGCCTATTGGAGAAAGAGAAGAAATAAGCCTGTGTGGCTATGAGGGGAGAATGTCAGAGAAGCAGGCAGGGGCCGGGAATAAGGTTAAAAGATTTCAAAGCTCTTTTTGGCTGTCCCCAGAAATGTGCTTCTTAGAAGAAATGCTAGCAGTGCCTAATTTGGAAGAGGAGATTTACCAATTTAGGGAGGGAAGTTTGATCATTCAGTAGTACTATTCGTTTTGTCCTGAAATCACCTGTAGCCAAAAAAAACAAAACACAACTCGATTGTCCTAATTTTCTTTAAGGAATCAAACTCCTTCAGAGCCCCTTAAATTCCAGTCATGTCCTTGAGTTTTCATGTTTTCACTGGAACCTATTGATTAGGAAATGTATATGTAAATATACATATGTTGCTCCATCTGCCTGGATGATCGAGGCTGCTGCCAGCATGCTGCTTCTTCCTGACAGCTGGAAACACTCCGCTTTGCCTCCTGTTTAGCCGTGTGAGAAGGAGGACTCAAGTGTCCTGAGTGATGATAAAACAGCCTTCAAGGGGGCCTCCTTACAATAGAAGAGCCACGCCCTGGGAAAGAGTTTGTCCCTAAGCAGAAGGGAAGTTTATCAGGAGGAACTCCCACTGAGGGGTAGTTTTGCCATGTGAATTTCATTGCTCTTTCAGAAATTACAGACAGTTGGACCATGCCTGAGTCTACTCTGCTCAAGTCCCTTGACCCTTTGAACACCTAAGGCTATGCCTATTCAATTTTTCAACAGATGTTCATTGCACATAAACTAGGGACACTATCATGAGTAAAATCAGAGGTGGTCCCTGCTCTTTGGGAACTGACAGCCTATGGGAAGACAGATCCTATTCAAAAAGTCACACACAGGGTAGATAATTAAAAACTGAGGAGTGTGCTAGAAAATGATTCTCTGAGAGCTTGGAACAAAGGAATCCGATCTCATCAGAGGTCAGAGAAGAATCCCCTGAAGAAGTGACACTAGCAGCAGCAGGCATTGCTTGAGGGCTTATTATGTTTCTGTCCTGAGCCAGAGACAGAAACATAATCGAATGCTGCTTAGAAGGAATTTATAGACCTGTTGAAAAAGTAAGATGTTCCTACAAATAAACCATCTGAAAGAGACAGTGTGGCATCAAGTGCTAAATGGATTAGCACTAGATAATAAAAGCTTAAGGAGTTAAAGATGAAAAGTGAGTGGTAGCAGAGGGTGGGCAATACCTTGTGGATGGGGTGAGATTTGAGCCAGGCCAGGAGGATGAATAAGCCTTGGACAGTGAAGGAAAGGTGTTAATCTGGTCATGGAACTCAGAAATCTTCAATGGTGCCCTGCTGTCTTAGCAGTAAAAAAAAAAAAAAAATCCAATTTCTTGACCCTCCATGATCTGCTCCCAGCCTATCTTCCCAAGTTTACCTTTTAAGACCCCTCCACTCTCTTGGAAATACAGTAACATTCTACCTTTTATATTATAGTTACTCCTTCCTTACAAGTTTATGAGCAACTTGAGAGATGGCATCATGTACTAGTCACCTGTATTTGTAGCCCCTTATTCCTTAGGGTAACACCTTTTGTATAGAAGAGACAGTAAATGTTTGTTTAATGGGATGGGAGGGGGGACAAAACTGTTGTGTTGTAGTATATGACCACATTGGTTAATGTGGGACTTGGGGGTGAGGGCTCAGGAGGTGTGGCTGCCCCTTTTCCAACAGCACTCTCTTCCTTGGAGACATCACTGACTTTTAAATTTAAAACTTTTAAAAAGTTTTAAATACCATCTTCACACTGGTGACTCCAAATTGATATTTCCAGCTCTAAATGCTCTCTTCCAGACCTGTGGATCTAACACCTCCCTACTTGCCATCACCATTTGGCCAGGCACCTCTAAAAGGCATCTCAAAATTAATATATCTGAAACAGAATTTTTGATTCCCTAACCTGATAACAAAAGCATACATCAGTTTCTACCTCCACCATCTTCTCTCAGTAAATGGCACCACCATCTAGTCATTTGCTCAAGACAAAAATCAGTTTCATCCTGGACTCAATTTACCTTACTCTCAGTGTCCAATAGATCAGCAAGTTCTCTTGTTTTGCTTCAAAAACCATATATCTAATCCATCCACTACTCTCTTCCTCCATTGATGTCATCCTGTTTCACGACACCATCATCTCTTGCTTGTACTATTTGATGTTCCCCACTATTGTCCCCAGGTGATCCATTCTCAGCAGTGCAACCAGAGTGAACTTTCAAAAGCATGTCATCTCCTGCTTATGTTCTATAGTGTCTCCTGTCACTAGAAGAAAATTCTAGAAGAAAATCCATACTCCCCACCATAGCCTATAAGACTCCCTATGAGCTGCTCCTTCCTGTGTCCACGCTCATCACCTACCACCCACCTCACTATACCTCCCAGCCACCCTGACCTCCTTGCTGTTCCCCAAACACACCAAGCTTGCTCCCACCTCAAAACCTTTGGTCTTGTTCTTCCCTCTGCCTAGAATATCTTCCCCCAGATGTTCCCTTCACTGGTTTCTTCTGCCTAGAATATCTTCCCCCAGATGTTCCCTTCACTGGTTTCTTCTTGGCATTCAGATCTCAGCTAAGCTGTCACCATTTCAGAGGGGCCTCCCTGACCATACAACAGTAGGTGCCCCCAGGGTTGGGGTTAGAGTCAGGGCTAAATAACTCTAATAATAACTGTTAATTTTACCATAGTACTTGTCACTATTTGTCTTAGTCCACTGGGGCTACTGTAACAGAATACCATCGACTGGGTGGATTAAAAAATGGAAATTTCTCTCTCACAGTTCAAGAGGCTGGGAAGTCCAAGATCAAGGTGCCAGCAGATTTGGTGTATGGTGAGAACCAGCATCCTGGCTTGCAGATGGCTGTCTTCTTGCTGTGTCCTCACGTGGTGGAAAAGGGTGAGAGAGCTCTCCAGGGTCTCTTTTATAAGGGCACTAATCTCATTCATGAGGGCCCACCCCCATGACCTAATCACCTCCCAAAGACCCCCACCCCCTAATACTGTAACACTGGGGATTAGATTTCAGCATATGAATTTGGGGGAACACAAATTCAGTCTATCACTCTATTAGATATTGGTTATTTATTATTTATTTACTTGTTTATTATATTATTTTCCCCACCTACAATATCAGCTACATGAAAATAGGGACATTACTTTATTTCCTATTATATTATCAGCAACTAAACAGAGCTTGGCACCTCTAAATTGACAATCACTAAATATTTGTTGCATCACTGATATAGATGGATGGGTGAATACTGTTTAATTATGTAAACTTAAAGAAATAATTTAGAATCTTTGCCTCAGTTTACCTCCTTCCTTGATGTAGACGGAAGGTAATATACTACTTATCTTTTCTGGAACACAAAGGACGTGGTTAAGATAAATGAGAAGGCTGAAGGCTTTACCACTTATTATGAGAAAAATATTGGAGTGTATGGGCAAGGAGCCATTTGAAAGTGGTGGTGACAGGCTAATGGAGAAGAAATTCATTTGTTTTATTACCCGTGAACCTCCTGGATACTGAGTAAGATGGAGGAAAATGAAATGTGCCCATGTGTAATATAAAAATTCATAAATACAGCTTTTGTTAATTCAAAGTAGAGTAATGCTTTGTTTTTCTGGCATCAATAGGTATTTTGCTAAGTGTTTTGTTTTTTTCAGATAGTTAATGTTCCCGTTGTAAGAAGATTTTTTTCAATTTGACTGTTTTAATGGAAATAGTTTTCAAATGAATTTCAGTGCCACTTTCTCTGGCAGCACACTGAGCAGAGCCTTTTGTCAATAACTTGGAATATCATTACAAGCTTACATTACATACTTGGGTATAAAATAGTGATAAACTCTGAAATCACAGATGTGTAGAACTTTTATACTTCCTGAGATCTTTTATGTATATTGCATAGGTTTTTTTTTTTTTTTCTCTTCTTTCATTTATTTAATCAACAAGTAAGACACACAGTACCTGCAGGCTGGCCACTA